GCAGACTGACCTCGGGGCCCTCTTCGCCATGAGGTGATGGTGTCCGGGAACGGCTTCTGTTTAACGTTACTTGACTTGTTTCAGGGTTGTTTTCTGATACATTCGATGTTATTTTGCTCCTTGTGGTGACCCCTTTCTCCATCATTACTTTAATACTCCCAAAGTTTCACAAAATCAGGTTTTAGGGGGTTATTTTGTTAACCGTCGGCGAGCTCGAAGATTAAGCAGTCATCCTGTCGGTGGCGCAACCGGAAGTCCTCTCTCAGTCGTGTTTTTCATAGTTACCAGTGCCGATGGAGTTTTTTAAAGCGTCATATTCTGCTGGAAACGTTTCATTTGAATGGTAATGTCCCATAAGCGGAGGTCTTGTGAGTAACTTCACAAGTCGGTCAAAGTCTACACCGGTGACAAGCTCATCTACTCCCAGAACCTGCTACTCTCTACCTACGCGTTGTCAGCTGATGTTTCAAAACCTCAACACTCGCATACAGAACAGCCTCAGCGTCTGCACCTCTTATCAGCACTAGCTGCAAGTCTACACCCCCTCTGTCCAGAAGTGAGCACAGCCTCTTGGTACCATCCCAGCAAGCATTTTTTTGGGGTGTTTAAAGGTGCCAACTGACCATCAAAAGTAAAAATGACTCATTTTATCTCATCCCAACAGGGAAACCACCAACAATAAAGAATGAGTTACTATCTGGTGTCATGGCTTTGCAATTAAAACAAGTTTAGTTATAATGGAGGTCATTGGGGGCAAAAACAGCCACTTGAACAATATGAACAATACATAAGGGTTAAAAGTCTAATAGACGGCTTGGTTAAAACCAGGCTAAATCTAGGCTGTCAGTGAGTGTGCACCCCTAACCCCGCCTCTCACAGTGACCTCACTAGCTCCGCTGAGTGCTTTGTGTCTCAGATTGCATGCAAGTCTGCAGCCAGATACTGCTGGAAGCTAGTCATCAAATACACAGGAACGAATGACTACACGTGTCAATCTGTCTATTAAACTATCTAATCTGTCTAGTCAGTCTTTTATTATCTTTTATATGCAAAAATATTCATTCATAAAAACATATGTATATATGAACACTGGGTCAAATAGGGTCCGTGCATTTTAAATCTAATAACAAAAATAACCCAATGTTGGTTTTGTCCATATTTAAATGAACGTGTGTAAACGCACGCTTTGATCAAACCTTTTATTCCCCTTGATGATATTGTGCTTTTTTTTCCCCTCAATGCCCTCCAAAGTTTCAATGTTTGGCCGTGTCTGCCATATCTGTTTTGTTTAAAAAAAAAAAAGGAAAAAAAAGGAATGCATCGGTTCCTGCATGTAGAATTCAGAAATCTCATGGCATTGAAAGAAAACTGGCAGCAGTTGAGTGCCGAGGTCAAAGGTCAGATGAGCAGGCATCACACCTGATAAACACCTGGGGCAACTGTACAGTAAAAAAAAAAAAAAAACAACAAGATTAAGAAATATTGCTTTAATTTGAGAGAGACAAAAAAAACTCTTCCGTGTTAAAATTTGATGTTCCTCCAGCGTTCTTACGTCAGTCTTTAATGTCAGGTGATCCTTCAAATGTCAGTGTAAATTGTTGAGTGTACCATTAGTGCTCAGTCGTGTTTTTCATAGTTACCAGTGCCGTTGGAGTTTTTTTTTTTTAGAGCGTCATATTCTGCTGGAAAAGTTTCATTTTAATGGTAATATGCCATGAGCGGAGGTGTATGAGTAACTTCACAAGTTGACCATAGTCTAGACCGATGACATGCTCATCTACTCCCAGAACCTGGCAGAACGAAATGTTGCAGCTCGTCCGGTCTTCAATGATGAGCCCAAAAGAGGCCACTTCACAGAGCCGGCCCAAGGCTTAAGAGAACTGAGAGGCAGGACAAGATGGCGGGCTGGACTTGGTTAACTTTAGATTTTACACAAATCTCATTGTTTTGTTTTTCACCTAAAATAGTAATTAAAACATCCAAGATGTGTTTTGCCTCATCAAAATGTGGAATTTGATCAGCAAACTACTCATTCTAAGACAACTATGCCTTGGGCTAAATGACTTGGCTTCAAGTACGATGCCACACGATTCAGAAATGAAGGTACAGACTGCACAAACAGATAAACGACATGATGCATCTCATTTCACCACAACTAAAGGCAGCGACAAAAAAAAAGTCAAGCTCTCACGATGATGACATTTCTCATGCAACCCTTTAGCAAGCCTACATAGTATTTATGCCTAAAAGTCACTGCATGGGTAAATAAGAAACAAGCAACACACACACACACACACATATATATATATATATATATATATATATATATATATATATATCCATGGGCCACTGTAAAGTAATATGGTTCTGTCATAACGTTTTGAATGAAAATCTGCATTTGGATAAGACACCTTTAGTATAGTTTTGATTTTAAGGCATAATAAAGATCAAATGCAAGTACGAGTGGATTTACATTGAAAATTTCAAACGCATCAAGTAAACCATGTGCTAAGGAAATTTCAAACCATTTGGAACGCACAGAGACGAGCTTTTGTGCAAAAATGAACTTAAAGGTGCCTTTAAAAAAGTGTCAAAGTACTTTTGAAAACAAAAAAGCAAACCCCCAATAGGTGGCAGCAAGAGGCCGCTTTATTTGAGTAAAGCATTGAACGATTCATTCAGCCAAAGAAGCCAATAGGATGAACGGACAGTTGAATCAATCCCTGAATCATCGACTCACCCGAGTCTTCTTGGCGAAGGCCTGAATCGTTCGTGCAGGGAAACGTCGCTGTGTATTATTCAGAGATGGCCAACTGTTCTGCTGTTTATTTTATTATACTTATCGCAATGATTTTACTACTACTATCAATAAAATTAATATTAATAATGATAATATTGCCGGAAGTTGTACAGCGCATGCGTCACGTGTTCATCATCAGCATCCATGACAACCGTCCTGTGGGTGTTGTTTGAATCTCGCTGTGTCGATTGGCATCTGATCTCTGCGTCCTCCGTGACAATTTTTCCAGATTATCGATATTATTGATCGTTGGATACGTCGATTGATCGCCTGCTGTTCCCATCACTCAGGTTTGACCCTTTTTATTACGCTGTGCTTTGTGTTTGTGTTCAGTATGTCTTGTGTTCACTACAGGTTCCAGAGTCGACTCACCTACGACTCGCTCCAGTTTGAAGGCCTCAACATCAGCGCGGGGGAGCTGAAGCGGCAGATCATGAGGAGCAAGAGGCTGAAGTTCTGCCAGCTGAAGATCAGCAACGCCCAGACTGATGAAGGTGAGTTGAGGAAAAGACACTTCAACTGTTCTACGCTAACATTAGATGCGTTATATCAGACACTTCTGGAAGCTGTAAGGTGGTGCTGATGCTGACATGTAGGGATGTTTTGGCTGTTTTAAAAGGCTAATGGCTCTCAAAGTATACCGTGCTCCATAATTATGTGCTGATTCTGATTTTATTTTGCTGTCAGAATACACAGATGATGCTCTCATCCCTAGAAACACGTCGGTCATCATCAGACGGATCCCTGCGGCGGGACTGAAGTCCTCAAACAGAAGATTTGTTGGGTGAGTGCTGTGAAATGAGCACACGCGTCCTCTGTTAGATGTTATATGAAGACTCCTGGTCTGTCCCTGGTGTTTTAGTCACACAAGCTCCTTTGTTTTGCAGACATCAAGCTGGACGCTGGCGTGAACCTTCACCTAGAGCTGATCCTTCACTCCTCTCACTGGAGCAGTTGTTGAAGGTATTGAACAAATGAATAGCACAATAACAAAACGCAATGTAAAGCACACAATATACGCACACGCACTCAGCTTCTTAGGGAGATTTGAGATTGTTTGAAGGGTCGAGGGTGAAAAAGATTCAAATGTGCAAATGCCTGTGAAACAGACTGAGAATCTGGCTGAGGCAAAGGCGTCAGAGGAGGACAAGCTGAAAGCGGTGATGTACCAGTCCAGCCTGTGCTACTACTCCAGCAGGTGAGCGTTCAGACACTGACAGGTTTGCTTTGTGAGAGATGTCTGAGCTGATTCTCATGGTTCTGATGTTCACTAGTGAGGCCATGAGGCTGCTTGGGATCCCGGGACACCACATTAGGCACTGCCCCACTAATGTGGTAACTGGGTTTTCCAAGCTCACGGTTGCTGTGAACTTGAGCTCTTGTCCTCATCAGTCAGATTGTTTGCTCAGAGTTTGACTGTCACTCCTCAATTCACAGGGCAGCCGCTCCGCGCCGCACAAGCGCATCCGGAAGAGCACAGGGATTCCCCGCAGCTTCCTGTTGGAGGTGGACGACCCAGACCGAAAGGGAGTCATGATAGACGGCAGCGGCAGATACGTCATTCCCATCATAGACGCGTGAGTAAACTGTACTTGGCATAGCCGCATGTTCTAGTGTTTGTCCAAATCTCACATGATGTCTGCTTGTGTGTGTTTGCGCTCGATCTGTTCAGTGAGGCCTATGCTGCTGAGAAGAGAAAGAGGCCGTCCTTCTCCTGCCAGACCGAGCCTTTGCCCTCCTCGTCCTCAGCAGGTGCGGCATCTTCGGTCCGGGACGCCGGAGGGAAACGGTCCCGCTCCCCATCTTCACCAGAGACGCGCGGCGACCAGAAGAGACCACGTCGCTGAGAGACCTTCATCCAAGAGACCTGGAGCCGACGTGTAAATATTGTACATAGTTTATTAATAAAAGATAATAAAGATTATAGCCGCATGAACTGTGTGGACTGGTTAACCTTCACTCCAGCAGTGCAACACACACACACACACACGAATGAATTCATAAACACAATATCATGAAGTTTTGCTTTAATTTAGGAAAAGAGAAACTCTTCTGGGCTAAAATCTGATGGGTTTTTTTCAGCGTTCTTACTTCAGTCTTTAATGTCAGGTGATCCTTCAAATGTCAGTGTAAAGTGTTGAGTACACTATTAGTGCTCAGTCGTGTTTTTCATAGTTACCAGTGCCGATGGAGTTTTTTAAAGCGTCATATTCTGCTGGAAACGTTTCATTTGAATGGTAATGTCCCATAAGCGGAGGTCTTGTGAGTAACTTCACAAGTCGGTCAAAGTCTACACCGGTGACAAGCTCATCTACTCCCAGAACCTGCTACTCTCTACCTACACGTTGTCAGCTGATGTTTCAAAACCTCAACACTCGCATACAGAACAGCCTCAGCGTCTGCACCTTGTTATGACTTAAATTGATATATGCAAGAGTGATTAATTAATGCTCCATTTATCGTTTAATTGTCATAAAGTGACTTTATTTACCTTTTCATTTATATATGCTGTTTTGCTTTAAGAACAGTTTTCCTATGATGCTTAGCGCTACTGAAAGCGCGCCTGTAACCATTGGCAACTGACTCAGTTGAGAGAGTGTGTGTGTTCGGAGTTTCGCTCCTGCTTCAGTATACAAAAAACTTCAGTAAACAGTTCATTTTCGTTGAAAACAAAGTTTTCCAGTCGTCATTATTGCTGCTAGATGAAAAGACAGAACAGAAAGTTTGGTGCCGAAACCCGGGAAACTAGCAAGCAACATCCGAAATGGCGGAACAGCTGGAGAGATTACACCGAAAACGGAGAGCTGTACGCGGATCCACAACGAGACTTTTGCAGGACATTGAAACGGAGGTTAGCCAAGAAGATCCGATTGTTGATCATTTGCGTGAACTGTTAGCCCTGTTATCTGCAAAAGAGGAAACGCTACTGGAGTTGGATATTAAGATAGAAGAAGGAACGGACATTGATGATTTGGAGAATGAAGTTGAGAATGTTGAGGAATATAAAGGAAGGATAATCACTGTGAAAACCCGCGCGCACAGAGTGATACAGAAGAGCCGCGAAAGCAGCAGGCAGAGCAACACAGACCCCCCGCGACAAGGACAGACAGTTAAGTTACCGAAGTTAATTATTAACAAGTTTAACGGAGAAATTGGCCAATGGCAGGACTTTTGGAATCAATTTGACACAGCTATTCATAAAAATGACGCGCTGAGCAAAACGGAAAAGTTTAACTACTTAAAGACATATTTAACCGGCGCTGCTTCAAAGGCCATAGCGGGGCTGATGTTAACAGACAGTAATTATGATCTGCTGCTGAATCGATTCGGACGAAAAGATCTGCTTATTAACGCGCATATGACCAAGCTGCTGAATCTCTGTCCCGTAAGGAAATCCCATGACGTCACTGCTCTGAGACAGCTGTATGACGAGTGTGAAGTGCAGATCCGCAGCTTAGAGTCGCTGGGTGTCGTATCAGATGCCTATGGAAGCCTGTTATGTCCCGTTCTGCTACAGATGATTCCAGATGATATTGCTCTGCAGTACAGTCGTCAGAGGGGAAACAGTGATGAATGGAAAGTTGCAGAAATAATGAAATTCCTGCAAGCTGAGATTTTAAGCAGAGAGAGAACTGTGCAGCTGCTTAAACCAAGTAATTACAAAGACAATCAAAGCTATCAGAAACCATTCAAAAAACAAGACACATCATTTGAATTTAAGCAGAGAAAGCATCACATTCCATCAGCTGCAGTACTTCAAACTACCAGTCATAGACCACAAAGCTGTGTTTTCTGTGACAGCACAACACACAAAACAGAACTGTGTGCAGAAACTGATATTGCTACACGGAAAGAAAAATTGATGAAAATGGGACGATGTTTTTTGTGTCTAGGACCAAAACATATTGCAAGGTTCTGTAAAAGCAAAGTGAGCTGCAATTCATGTGGAAGCAGACATCACAGTGCTGTATGTGAGAAAAAAGAGAAAAATGCACCTGACAGTGTAGACAAAGATAATGTGGTTTCCTCCTTTACCTCACATTCATTAAAGATACAACCCACTAAACAAGACCACAGTGTGTTGCTGCAGACAGTCAGAGCTTGGGCTGAAGGGCCTGGTGGACGAATAAGCGTTCGGTGCTTATTAGATGGAGGCAGCCAGAGAAGCTTTATCAGTGAAAAGGCTGTCAGAGCTTTAAAATTACCTGTAATAAAACGAGAAACATTCACTCTACATACCTTTGGTTGTGCAGAACCAGTGACAACAAAGCGAAATACAGTTAAGGTAACTCTCCAGAACACCCAACACAGGGGGCAGAAAATTGAAATAGAAGCACTTCAGACACCCCAGGTGTGCACTGCTCTGATGAAAATTCCAGGTGAGCACATACAAGCAGAACTGAGAAGAAAAGGGCTGCAGATCGCAGATTACCAAGATGACAATGCTTGTGACACAGAGTTATCTGTGTTGATTGGTGCTGACTATTACTGGCACATAGTGTCAGGCCATGTGGAAAGAATAACAGATGCTCTTGTAGCTGTTGAAAGCATTTTCGGATGGTCAGTGCAGGGCCCAGTCAAAATGTCCAGTGTTGCTGATGCCGCATGTATGCATATTCAAGTCAATGAAGACACGCTGGTTTCAGATCACTTAAAAGCCTTCTGGGAAATTGAGTCTCTTGGTATAACCATGAAGCAGACAGACAGCGCTGAGGAAGAGGAAGCTCTTCACAAATTTGAAAAGACAACTCAGAACAAAAATGGCCGATATGAAGTTGAGTTGCCATGGCGACCTGACAAACCAGAACTCCCTGATAACTACAGGATTGCTAAGAAGAGATTTGAGGGCCTGAAAAAAAGGTTGCAGTCAGATGTAGTTTTGTATCACAGATATAATGAAGTTGTGTGTGATTACCTTGAGCAGGGCATTGTCGAAGAAGTTGCGGAGGATCAGTCATCTCAGCCCACTGCAAAATATTACATGCCTCATCATGCTGTTCTGCGTGAAGACAAGGTAACAACAAAGCTCAGAGTGGTGTTTGATGCATCATCACATGAAACTGATTCTCCATCACTAAATGACTGTTTGCTAACTGGTCCTAATCTGAACCCAGATCTTCTCAGCATATTAATCAAATTCAGACTGAATGCAATCGCATTTACAGCAGACATCAAGAAGGCTTTCTTGCAGATTTCTCTTGCTGAGAAGGACAGGGATGCAGTACGATTTCTCTGGCTTGCTGTGCCACCACATGAGGATAAAGACGAGAAGCTGCGTGTGCTACGGATGACGAGAGTGGTGTTTGGAGTGTCCCCCAGCCCATTTCTCCTTGCAGCTACCGTGAGAAAGCATCTGAAGAAATATGAAGAGCAGAATCCTGAGGTAGTAAACATAATAAAAGAATCACTATATGTTGATGATTTCATCTCAAGTGCAAGTGATGTTGAAAAGGCCTTCTCCATAACAACTACTGCAAAACAGATTATGTCAACTGCTGGCATGGACCTGTGCAAATGGACAACCAACTGTCATGTGTTAAAGGAAAAATGGAAAACAGTGAGAAATGACGTTGTTCCAGATAAAGAAATGCCAGGATCTGTATTGAAGGTATTAGGCCTGGTTTGGAGAACTGAGACAGATGACTTTGTCTTTGATTTGACTGCGTTACTAGATGCTGTAGCAAAGGGAGAGAACACAAAAAGAGCCATTCTGAAACTCTCTGCTCGCATATTCGACCCAATAGGATTTCTCACTCCCTTCACTGTGCGAGTCAAATGCCTATTTCAAGAGATGTGGACGCGTGGTCTCGGCTGGGATGAGGAGCTGCCTGCAGACATTGAAAAGGAATGGAGAAAATGGTGCTCAGAGCTAGCACAGATCCACCACATAGTCATCCCGCGCTGGTATGGAATAACATCCGAGCACAGACATGATGCACAGCAACTTCACGTGTTCTGTGATGCGAGTGAAAGAGCCTACAGTGCTGCTGCCTACCTGTTACTAGAGCTGAACGATGGAACAAAGACTACTTGCCTTGTCGCTTCCAAGTCCAGGGTAGCGCCTTTGAAGAAAATGTCACTGCCACGTCTTGAGCTTATGGGTGCGGTGATTGGTGCAAGACTAGGAAACAGCTTGTTAAAACCGATGAATATGGATCCCCAATCACTTCACATGTGGACTGATTCTATGATCGTACTACAGTGGATTCAAAGTCCAGCTCACAAGTGGAAACAGTTTGTGTCAAACAGAGTGGCTGAAATACAGTCTATAACTAACCCTGCAATGTGGTCACACTGTAGGAGCAAAGACAATCCCGCAGACCTTCCCACTAGAGGTCAGACTGTGACTAATCTAAAGGAAAATGAACTTTGGTGGAAGGGACCTCAGTTTCTGACAGCACAGGGTTCAGTGGAAATGAGTGATGAAAATCAAGATGAAGAGGTGAGTGATGAATTAGAAGTTCAGCAGATCACTGTGCAACTTAACAGTTGCGAGGACAACAGTGGAATGGAACCTTTGTTAAATTTAGCAAAGTACAGTAAACTGAACAGAGTATTGCGAATAACTGCTTGGATCAAGAGGTTCATGCACAACAGTAAATCAAGCTCTAAAAGACGCGGTGAGTTAACTGCAGATGAAATGTTTGAGGCTGAAAAGTATTGGATAAAAGTGACACAAGACAGCAACTTCAGGCATGAGATTACTTTGCTAAAAGCTCACAAAGGCCTAAATGCGGACTCAAAAATAAGAGAACTGAAACCTTTCCTGGATGACGATGAATTAATCTGTGTTGGAGGCAGACTACAACAATCAGAATTCAGTTACAGGGAAAAGCACCCATGGATTCTACCTAAAAGGGCCAGATACTGTGAGCTGCTAGTGCAGCACAACCATGAATTAACTATGCATTCAGGTTTAAGAGACACTCTAGTACAAATTAGGAGTAAATACTGGATTTTACAAGGCCGACAACTTGTGAAAACTATTCTGTCAAAATGTGCTGTGTGCAAAAGATTTAGAGCAAAGCCCTCACAACAGGACACTGCCCCCTTGCCCCGAGATAGGATAGTAGAGACCCCTCCATTTGAAGTGACTGGCATTGATTTTGCAGGTCCTCTGTATGTAAAAAATGATCGTGTGTTATGCAAGGCCTACATTGCATTGTTCACATGTGCCGTCACCAGAGCAGTGCACTTGGAGCTGGTTTCAAGCCAATCAACAGAAAGCTTCCTGCTAGCACTTAAGCGATTTGTATCTAGAAGAGGACTGTGCAAGATAATTTATTCAGACAATGCCAAAACATTCAAAAGAGCCAATCAAGATCTTAGTGAGCTGTGGCAAACAATTAAAGATCCTCAAGTTCTAGAATATTTCTCAGGGAAGGGCATCACCTGGCGTTTCATCGTAGAGCGAGCAGCCTGGTGGGGCGGCTTTTGGGAGAGGTTAGTACGATCTGTGAAGACGTGTCTGAGAAAGGTGCTTGGGAGAGCATCACTAACTTTCGAAGAAATGTGTACACTACTTACAGAAGTAGAAGCTGTACTTAACTCCAGACCACTTACCTTTGTCAATAATGAACTTGATGAGCCACAGCCACTTACACCTGCACACTTTCTAGTTGGCGAGCGACTAACTTCACTGCCACCAAAACCATTTCCTGCGGACTATGATCACCCCACTGTGAACAAAGAGGATATGACACGGAGATGGAGATACAGGAATCGACTCATAACCGTCCTGTGGAACCGCTGGAGAAAGGACTATCTGTTAGACCTAAAATCTGCACATTCGTGCCGCATACAGAAACCTACTGAGCTGAAAATTGGGGACATTGTTCTCATTGGAGAAGCTAACATGCCAAGACAATCTTGGAAGTTAGGAAAAATTGAACTTTTGTTTCCAGGGCGAGATGGTAAAGTTCGAGCATGTGCTGTTCGCACATCTGCAGGGACTGTTTTGAGAAGACCAATTCAATTGCTATATGCATTAGAGATTGAGTAGATGAACAGTTGTTCATGGGGGGGAGGATGTTATGACTTAAATTGATATATGCAAGAGTGATTAATTAATGCTCCATTTATCGTTTAATTGTCATAAAGTGACTTTATTTACTTTTTCATTTATATATGCTGTTTTGCTTTAAGAACAGTTTTCCTATGATGCTTAGCGCTACTGAAAGCGCGCCTGTAACCATTGGCAACTGACTCAGTTGAGAGAGTGTGTGTTCGGAGTTTTGCTCCTGCTTCAGTATACAAAAAACTTCAGTAAACAGTTCATTTTCGTTGAAAACAAAGTTTTCCAGTCGTCATTATTGCTGCTAGATAAAAAGACAGAACAGACCTCTTATCGGCACTAGCTGCAAGTCTACACCCCCTCTGTCCAGAAGTGAGCACAGCCTCTTGGTACCATCCCAGCAAGCATTTTTTTGGGGTGTTTAAAGGTGCCAACTAACCATCAAAAGTAAAAATGACTCATTTTATCTCATCCCAACAGGGAAACCACCAACAATAAAGAATGAGTTACTATCTGGTGTCATGGCTTTGCAATTAAAACAAGTTTAGTTATAATGGAGGTCATTGGGGGCAAAAACAGCCACTTGAACAATATGAACAATACATAAGGGTTAAAAGTCTAATAGACGGCTTGGTTAAAACCAGGCTAAATCTAGGCTGTCAGTGAGTGTGCACCCCTAACCCCGCCTCTCACAGTGACCTCACTAGCTCCGCTGAGTGCTTTGTGTCTCAGATCGCATGCAAGTCTGCAGCCAGATACTGCTGGAAGCTAGTCATCAAATACACAGGAACGAATGACTACACGTGTCAATCTGTCTATTAAACTATCTAATCTGTCTAGTCAGTCTTTTATTATCTTTTATATGCAAAAATATTCATTCATAAAAACATATGTATATATGAACACTGGGTCAAATAGGGTCCGTGCATTTTAAATCTAATAACAAAAATAACCCAATGTTGGTTTTGTCCATATTTAAATGAACGTGTGTAAACGCACGCTTTGATCAAACCTTTTATTCCCCTTGATGATATTGTGCTTTTTTTTCCCCTCAATGCCCTCCAAAGTTTCAATGTTTGGCCGTGTCTGCCATATCTGTTTTGTTTAAAAAAAAAAAAGGAAAAAAAAGGAATGCATCGGTTCCTGCATGTAGAATTCAGAAATCTCATGGCATTGAAAGAAAACTGGCAGCAGTTGAGTGCCGAGGTCAAAGGTCAGATGAGCAGGCATCACACCTGATAAACACCTGGGGCAACTGTACAGTAAAAAAAAACAAAAAAAACAACAAGATTAAGAAATATTGCTTTAATTTGAGAGAGACAAAAAAAACTCTTCCGTGTTAAAATTTGATGTTCCTCCAGCGTTCTTACGTCAGTCTTTAATGTCAGGTGATCCTTCAAATGTTAGTGTAAATTGTTGAGTGTACCATTAGTGCTCAGTCGTGTTTTTCATAGTTACCAGTGCCGATGGAGTTTTTTTTTTTAGAGCGTCATATTCTGCTGGAAAAGTTTCATTTTAATGGTAATATGCCATGAGCGGAGGTGTATGAGTAACTTCACAAGTTGACCATAGTCTAGACCGATGACATGCTCATCTACTCCCAGAACCTGGCAGAACGAAATGTTGCAGCTCGTCCGGTCTTCAATGATGAGCCCAAAAGAGGCCACTTCACAGAGCCGGCCCAAGGCTTAAGAGAACTGAGAGGCAGGACAAGATGGCGGGCTGGACTTGGTTAACTTTAGATTTTACACAAATCTCATTGTTTTGTTTTTCACCTAAAATAGTAATTAAAACATCCAAGATGTGTTTTGCCTCATCAAAATGTGGAATTTGATCAGCAAACTACTCATTCTAAGACAACTATGCCTTGGGCTAAATGACTTGGCTTCAAGTACGATGCCACACGATTCAGAAATGAAGGTACAGACTGCACAAACAGATAAACGACATGATGCATCTCATTTCACCACAACTAAAGGCAGCGACAAAAAAAAAGTCAAGCTCTCACGATGATGACATTTCTCATGCAACCCTTTAGCAAGCCTACATAGTATTTATGCCTAAAAGTCACTGCATGGGTAAATAAGAAACAAGCAACACACACACACACACACACACACACATATATATATATATATATATCCATGGGCCACTGTAAAGTAATATGGTTCTGTCATAACGTTTTGAATGAAAATCTGCATTTGGATAAGACACCTTTAGTATAGTTTTGATTTTAAGGCATAATAAAGATCAAATGCAAGTACGAGTGGATTTACATTGAAAATTTCAAACGCATCAAGAAAACCATGTGCTAAGGAAATTTCAAACCATTTGGAACGCACAGAGACGAGCTTTTGTGCAAAAATGAACTTAAAGGTGCCTTTAAAAAAGTGTCAAAGTACTTTTGAAAACAAAAAAGCAAACCCCCAATAGGTGGCAGCAAGAGGCCGCTTTATTTGAGTAAAGCATTGAACGATTCATTCAGCCAAAGAAGCCAATAGGATGAACGGACAGTTGAATCAATCCCTGAATCATCGACTCACCCGAGTCTTCTTGGCGAAGGCCTGAATCGTTCGTGCAGGGAAACGTCGCTGTGTATTATTCAGAGATGGCCAACTGTTCTGCTGTTTATTTTATTATACTTATCGCAATGATTTTACTACTACTATCAATAAAATTAATATTAATGATGATAATATTGCCGGAAGTTGTACAGCGCATGCGTCACGTGTTCATCATCAGCATCCATGACAACCGTCCTGTGGGTGTTGTTTGAATCTCGCTGTGTCGATTGGCATCTGATCTCTGCGTCCTCCGTGACAATTTTTCCAGATTATCGATATTATTGATCGTTGGATACGTCGATTGATCGCCTGCTGTTCCCATCACTCAGGTTTGACCCTTTTTATTACGCTGTGCTTTGTGTTTGTGTTCAGTATGTCTTGTGTTCACTACAGGTTCCAGAGTCGACTCACCTACGACTCGCTCCAGTTTGAAGGCCTCAACATCAGCGCGGGGGAGCTGAAGCGGCAGATCATGAGGAGCAAGAGGCTGAAGTTCTGCCAGCTGAAGATCAGCAACGCCCAGACTGATGAAGGTGAGTTGAGGAAAAGACACTTCAACTGTTCTACGCTAACATTAGATGCGTTACATCAGACACTTCTGGAAGCTGTAAGGTGGTGCTGATGCTGACATGTAGGGATGTTTTGGCTGTTTTAAAAGGCTAATGGCTCTCAAAGTATACCGTGCTCCATAATTATGTGCTGATTCTGATTTTATTTTGCTGTCAGAATACACAGATGATGCTCTCATCCCTAAAAACACGTCGGTCATCATCAGACGGATCCCTGCGGCGGGACTGAAGTCCTCAAACAGAAGATTTGTTGGGTAAGTGCTGTGAAATGAGCACACGCGTCCTCTGTTAGATGTTATATGAAGACTCCTGGTCTGTCCCTGGTGTTTTAGTCACACAAGCTCCTTTGTTTTGCAGACATCAAGCTGGACGCTGGCGTGAACCTTCACCTAGAGCTGATCCTTCACTCCTCTCACTGGAGCAGTTGTTGAAGGTATTGAACAAATGAATAGCACAATAGCAAAACGCAATGTAAAGCACACAATATACGCACACGCACTCAGCTTCTTAGGGAGATTTGAGATTGTTTGAAGGGTTGAGGGTGAAAAAGATTCAAATGTGCAAATGCCTGTGAAACAGACTGAGAATCTGGCTGAGGCAAAGGCGTCAGAGGAGGACAAGCTGAAAGCGGTGATGTACCAGTCCAGCCTGTGCTACTACTCCAGCAGGTGAGCGTTCAGACACTGACAGGTTTGCTTTGTGAGAGATGTCTGAGCTGATTCTCATGGTTCTGATGTTCACTAGTGAGGCCATGAGGCTGCTTGGGATCCCGGGACACCACATTAGGCACTGCCCCACTAATGTGGTAACTGGGTTTTCCAAGCTCACGGTTGCTGTGAACTTGAGCTCTTGTCCTCATCAGTCAGATTGTTTGCTCAGAGTTTGACTGTCACTCCTCAATTCACAGGGCAGCCGCTCCGCTCCGCACAAGCGCATCCGGAAGAGCACAGGGATTCCCCGCAGCTTCCTGTTGGAGGTGGACGACCCAGACCGAAAGGGAGTCATGATAGACGGCAGCGGCAGATACGTCATTCCCATCATAGACGCGTGAGTAAACTGTACTTGGCATAGCCGCATGTTCTAGTGTTTGTCCAAATCTCACATGATGTCTGCTTGTGTGTGTTTGCGCTCGATCTGTTCAGTGAGGCCTATGCTGCTGAGAAGAGAAAGAGGCCGTCCTTCTCCTGCCAGACCGAGCCTTTGCCCTCCTCGTCCTCAGCAGGTGCGGCATCTTCGGTCCGGGACGCCGGAGGGAAACGGTCCCGCTCCCCATCTTCACCAGAGACGCGCGGCGACCAGAAGAGACCACGTCGCTGAGAGACCTTCATCCAAGAGACCTGGAGCCGACGTGTAAATATTGTACATAGTTTATTAATAAAAGATAATAAAGATTATAGCCGCATGAACTGTGTGGACTGGTTAACCTTTACTCCAGCAGTGCAACACACACACACACACACACACATATACACACACACACACACACACACGAATGAATTCATAAACACAATATTATGAAGTTTTGCTTTAATTTAGGAAAAGAGAAACTCTTCTGGGCTAAAATCTGATGGGTTTTTTTCAGCGTTCTTACTTCAGTCTTTAATGTCAGGTGATCCTTCAAATGTCAGTGTAAAGTGTTGAGTACACTATTAGTGCTCAGTCGTGTTTTTCATAGTTACCAGTGCCGATGGAGTTTTTTAAAGCGTCATATTCTGCTGGAAACGTTTCATTTGAATGGTGATGTCCCATAAGCGGAGGTCTTGTGAGTAACTTCACAAGTCGGTCAAAGTCTACACCGGTGACAAGCTCATCTACTCCCAGAACCTGCTACTCTCTACCTACACGTTGTCAGCTGATGTTTCAAAACCTCAACACTCGCATACAGAACAGCCTCAGCGTCTGCACCTCTTATCGGCACTAGCTGCAAGTCTACACCCCCTCTGTACGCATGCTTTGATCAAACCTTTTATTCCCCTTGATGATATTGTGCTTTTTTTTCCCCTCAATGCCCTCCAAAGTTTCAATGTTTGGCCGTGTCTGCCATATCTGTTTTGTTTAAAAAAAAAAAAAAGGAAAAAAGGAAAAAAAAAAAGATTTTTCATTATTAAGTGGCTTTATACACTGCAAAAGTGATAGCAAATATGTTGTTGCTAGTCCAAATAAATTCTTAAATCAAGAATCAATTATTTCTTCAAACAAGACACTATGTTTTGCTTGTCTAGAAATTGCTTTTTGATTTAGAATTTTTTAAATATTTGGGCTAGAAACAACATAAAAAAAATCTAAGAAAGAAAAGCATTTTA